GATGAGATGAGAGATCCTTTAAACAATTTGGTGAAAAAGGGCACAAAGTGGATATGGCCGAAAAAGTGCGAGGATGCTTTTAAAAATATTAAAAAAAAACTATTTATTAGCAGACCTATCGTTGGCGCATTTCGACCCGAAGAAGAAAATGATTGTAGCAGCAGATGCTAGTAATGACGGACTAGGCGCTGTATTGCTACATAAACTCGAGGCCGGATCTACGAAGCCAGTAGCACATGCCTCGAGAAAGTTACTGCCCGCAGAACGAAATTATAGCCAAATTGAAAAAGAGTTTGGCAATAATCTTCGCTGTAAGGAAATTTCACAGACTCATATATGGAAGACTATTTACTCTTCAAACAGACCACAAACCGCTGTTAACAATTTTTGGTCCAAAAAAAGGGGTACCAACTCACACGGCAAATCGACTACAGTGTTGGGGTATAATTCTATTGAATTACTATTTCAGAATGGAATATGTGCCTTCAAAAAGCTAGGTCACGCCGATGGGTTGTCGAGGTTAATAACGAAATATACGGACCCGCTGGAAGTAAAACAGTAATAGCGGCGCTGAGAGACGAAAGTGAATTGTCGGGTCTGTTATGCAAGACCATTAGAGAAATACCGGTTACTCTAGATGATGTGAAAAAAAGCAGCTGAAAACGATGATTTCATTAAGAAAATGAAAAAGCAAGTCGGGTTGAACGAGAAAACAAAAGAAGAATGAGAGTGTCACCTTTTTTCAATGTGATCAGGTATTACTTCACGCAGACAGAGTGGTAATGCCGTGTACTTTACAGAAAAAAAATCTAAAAGAATTTCACACTGGTCATCCAGGGATTTTGCAAATTAAATCTCTATTGAGAGGATAAACGTATTGGCCGAGGATAGACCAGGACATAGAAAATATGGTGAAACAGTGTAAAGGATGTCAACTAACAGCAAGGGATCCACCTGTAAAGAGTCAACCATGGCCAAAGACAGATATCCCATGGACTCGACTGCATATCGACTATGCAAGACCCATAAATGGATCTTTTACCTGATTGTGGTAGACAGTTTTACTAAGTGGCCAGAAATTGTTAAATGCAGACATCCTTATCGAAAACTTAATACTAACCCCTTATATATTCACCCTGTCAAACCACCCTCCATCCATAATTAAACATATACCCTCATCAATAGTGAATATAATCAGCATTAACTCCGCTAATAAAGAAATATTCCAACAACACAGTAATTTTTATAACGTAGCCCTAAAAAATAGTGGATACAAAAATTCTAACATAAATTATAGAAACAATTGTACTAACCAGAAGAAAAACCGGAAAAGAAAAATCATTTGGTATACCCCTCCGTTCAACCAAATGGTTAGTATTAAGCTAGGACAGAAATTCCTAGCTTTAATTGAAAAACACTTTCCTACTAATAGTAGACTTAGTAAAATATTTAATAAAACACCCTAAAATTAAGTTACAGTTGCACTGAAAATCTAGAAAGTATAATAAAAAACACAATAATTGAAATCCTGAATAAACCCCTATGTCAGAATAGTATTAATAAAAACCCTACACTTAAATTAGACAAAAATAGTGAAAAATTATGTGATTGTAGAAACCCAGAAGACTGCCCATTGGAAAATAAATGCCGCGTAAAATCTGTGGTATACCAATGTACTATCTCATCCATTGAGAGTCCTAATACTAATATGATATACATTGGGTCTACGAAGAATGAATTTAAAACCAGATGGAGGCAGCATAAGTGCTCCTTCAACAATATAAATAAAAGAAATCAGACATCTAAATATTTTGGGCACTTGAAGGAAATGAATAAAACACCAAAAGTAAAATGGAAAATTAAAAACAAAACTAGAACTTGTAAAACTTGGGATGACCCATGCCCTTTATGCCTACATGAAAAACTACACATTATCAGTTTCTAAATAATAAAAATTTATTAAACAATAGACATGAGTTAACGTTTTTTTGCCGACATCATCAAATTTTCGCATTTAATAATTAGCATAAAAAACTAACAAACAATAAAATAATAAATACAAATTTTAAACTCCATAGTCTAAATAAATAGTTTAAATGCCCTACTCAATAAAAAAAAGATAACCCTTTATGAAATAAAAAATAAAATAAAAAAATAAATAAATCTCCATAGACACTTAACCAGACTAAACGATGTCATCTTCTTCTTTAAATTTAGACACCCAAAACTTACCCTGACTTGACGTCTTTGAATGTAACTGAGATATTGATACAAATTATTAACCTTTACGCCCCTTTTCTTTAAATAATTGCTCTAGCCGTTACTATAGTAATTTTAATTTTAATAATGAATATGCTTATAAAACGTGTAAATTTCAGGAATTAGTTATTCCAAAAAATTTCGCTTGAAGATAATAATAAATTATTATATTATTATAAATAATTATATTGAAGTTTTCGGCTTTTGTTTTGAAACATGAGAACTCTTATGTAGCGATGGAATCATAGTTTTAAATAAATAATTATATATATATATATATATATATATATATATATATATATATATATATGTTTATATATGTATATATATGTATCAAATGTAAACCATGCCGTCCGCTTTCTTCATGATCATTTTTCGAATAATTCCGACAGTCACTAGTCATTATCAGAGGTTGGATATCATCATTAGTTGGGAAAAATTTATATTCTCTTTATTCTTTCATTTCTTAGAAAAGCTATCATTTTAACTTGAATGTATCTGTATCGAATACAAGTGACATCACAGTAATTGTAATGATTTCAAACGGCTAACCTGTTACAGAAAACAAGTAACCTCAAAAAGTATCTTTATATAAATAGAATGTCGTTTAAGGGACTGCCTTCAATAATGATAATCAAATCAACATTAAATCATTAAATTGGTCACAGCAACCATCACACTCCCTTGTAAGCTAATTTGCCACTTATTGATACTTAGTACAAATCTTACATATATTGATATATCCATGAAAAGAAATCAAAATAAGCCAATTCAAAGATATATATATATATATATATATATATATATATATATATATATATATATATATATCTTATATTATTATATATTATATGATATATTATATAATAAAAACGATATAACTATAAAATATATAAATATATAATATATAAATATAAAAATAATTATATAAAATAAATTAAATATATAAATATAAAAATAATTATATAAAATATAAAAATATATAAATATAACTACATATATATATATATATATAACTGAGAAAATTCTATTCGACAAAGGAGGACAATAAATGGACAGGTTTCAATGTTACATTTACATTTTTGAAGATGGCAATTGACAGGACAATAAGAAGCCGAAAGAGAGTTCCACAAGCAAGAAGTGCAAGAGAAGAAATTATTAACATACAACTTACAGTTGCATCTAGCCATTTCACCCGTGAAATGGTGATACCTATCTTCTAATCTAGTTCTGCGCTTAAGTTTGTGGAGTTAAGGTACCGTATTTATATAAAATATTAATCTACTAGAGAGCACTGACTGTAAAACAAAAACTTAAACTATTTGAAGTTTTATTCTTATACAAATGAAACAATCCACATTTTTTCAAACGAAAATATTTTAAAGCTTAATATCTTTCTCCTTAGACGCAATTAAACTTCCAACTGATTAAATTCGTAAATTTAAAAAATATATATTTTGCTAACTGAAACTGTACTGCACATACCGTTACTTGAATTAAATTTATGCAACACATTGTGTGGCACCCTGCATTTTTAGAAAAACTAAAAAAAGAAATATTCATAGAAATATGATTTTATTTTATTCGGTTTATTAACCAGTTGTTAGTTATTTAGACGAAGAATAATTAAGTTTTTAGAATAATTCTCTAATTGTATTTAGGCGATCCTAAGGGAAGAAGAAGCGAAAAAGAAAGAGGGAAGAAGAAGAAAAGAAAAGGAGAGGAGGAGAAATAGATAATCCGGTCATCAGCGAAAACAGGTGTCAAGAGATATCTAGGCCAACGCGCCTGACCGAATTTCAAAAACAATGGAAATTGTTATTTGGAAGAATAGAATTAGAGGTAATTAAAAGAAAGAAAGAAAACAGACTTGGTAAAAGTGTATGAACAAACGTACGATTGATAAAAATATCGGTCAAAACATCTGGCCTACTTTTGTGTAGAAGCTCATTATCAATTTGAAGAAATGGGATTTTTAGAACAATGGAAAACGAAATATTAATCGGAGAAGGGTGTCTTTGGAATGAGAAGGTGACCGCTGGAATTGTATACAGATCCTGACCTGTTGAAGATTAGAACCCCCACGATGAGGAAGTGAAGATATATTCAATTCAGATAATTAAGATTTTGACTATCAGGTCTGAGCAAAAACAAAGAGGTGAAAACTATTGTTTTGGCTCACAGAAAGCGCCAGAGAGACGAGAAAAATTCTTCCTGAAGTCATATCTAATTAGCGGCGGGCTGTTTTGACAAAAGCCAAAAAGGTGAGAAAGGCCGAGATTGCCATTTTCGTTCGTGCGAAAAAGGCCAAATTGGATTTTGTTTTTTTAGCAAGGTGTCTCTTTCCCAGAACAAAGCCGGGATAGACCACGCCCGATTGGAGACGTCACGAAGGACGGGAGACGCCCAACCAGAATCTCATTAGCCGAAAGCGGTCACGTGATATGCGAGAAAGAGGAGAAAGGACGCTCGACCAAGACCCATTGGTCGAAAACGGTCACCTGACATACGAGAGACCGGGAGAGATGGGTATGCGCCTCCCCCAGAGGCACTGTGAGGAAGTAGGGGTGAAAATAAGAGCGATAATGGGAAATCAGAACTAATGCGACTTTTGGAATTATCAAGAAAACCCTGACGCCGACAGACCCACTCCAGTTTGTTGCGGCGTCAATAAAAGCAGAACCCCAACCGACAGAAATCAGTTCAGCCCCGGACGACAGAGAGCTCAGTTCACCTCAGACGGCAGAGAGAAGAGTTCGGACCTTGGCGAGAAGAGTTGCAGGACGGAAGAAGAAGAAGTTACTTGCAGTTGCGTCTAGAAGAAGTTGAAACCAGGCCAAGCCTGAGGGTGGGAATTCGTCCAACCCAAATCGAAGTGAAGAAATACGTCCAACTCAAGCCGAAGCGAATAAGCTCGTCCAACTCAAGCCGAAGAGAAGAATCAGCCGTGAACGACTGGTAGAGATTAGCGCCCAGTGTCGAAACCAAACCACACTCCGACATACAAAATTCTAGAGAGTAGGCAACCCGAAGTCTTTAAGTTGTATGATAGAAGCTTGGTGCCACAGTCCACGAAGCGGGTCGGGAAGTAAGAATAATTTTTATGTAACGAACATTGGATATAAAAGGTTGTTACCCTTTTTTATCAGTAATTTTTTGCCTCGTGAGTTTTTCTTTTACTTGTGTATTGCCACCCTCGTCGAACTCAACTGGCATACGGCCCCAATCCCTGTTTGATCCCGTCTGTCTAAGATCTAATCACAACGTGGGAAGGCAGACCGGAGATCAGTACAGTTACCCTAGTAACCAGGTGTTGGAAGCGAGTTGGGAACGGCGAGGCTGGTAATCATCTAACCAAAGGGTTGGAACGTCACACTTGGAGCAGCGAGGAGCGAACAGCTGACGCCGCGGCAAAAACGTCACGTCACAGTTGGAGCCGCGAACGAGATCGAGCGACAGAGTCGACGCTGCGACCAGGAGGAGCGACGTCACAGTTGGCGCCGTGACCAAAGGATTCGACCCTGGACCAAGTGACGTCACATTGTATTTAAAAATGAATTTATTAAAAAAATCCTCTATTATAACTAATGATACTGACGATGACAATGGCTTGAGATTGTCGAAAATAGTCAAACAAATTACTATGAAAAACTATGAAATTTGACCATTTTCAATATAAATCTTATCTAACTGATATCTAATATGCAGGCTAGAAAAATTGAATAAAAATCAAATAGACAGTTGGTCGATTTCATCAAAGCATATTTGAATACTTACACACACACATATATATATTTACATATATTGTTTAAAATTTGGTATATTTATAGGTGACTAATGCTCAGTATTGGAGATGTTACCAGATAGGAATCAATACTACATGGTGACTGTCAGTTTTAGGCCCTAATGCTACCTTCAGATTTGTTTTAAATCTATTTGTCTATATACCTATCTATATACTAGGTTGAGTCATAAGTAATTTCCATTTTTGTTTATTCTTAAAAAACATAATGCACAATTACATTTCATTCAATTTTATATTCACCATTATTTGCAATAACTTCTTGCCACTTATCAGGCAGTATTGAGTCAAATTTTGCAGGTTTTAACGTGAAAAACATTGGACGAACACTTTTCTCATACTAAAGCCTTTGGCAGCGATTAAAAAAGGTTATAATCGGTTGGTGCAAAGTCAGGTGAGCATGGCGAGTGTGTGTGGGGGGTAGATCAGACCAACAGAATTTCAAAATTTGTTCCTGTGCTATTCTTGCTGCAGGCCACCCTGTGCTTTCATGGGGATCAACATTTTTTCTACCAACAGGCGCAGGTCGCTTTTCGATCAAACGTTTATGGACACGCTGCAGCTGATGAATGTATAAATGTGTATTTAGAGTTTCACTCTGTATTAAGAAGTCAAATTGAATAAGAAGATCCCACCACACGCACAACATTTTTTTTTTATTTTCATGGAGCTCAGATTTTGAGGTCGCTTCTTAAGATTTATCCATTCCAATGTGTGAAGAGGCGTTCTTCTGCAGTACGCTAAGCTTAATACACACGCACATACAAACGCGCATGTACACGTACACATTATGTACATATATATATTTACAGACAGATAGATATTGAATACACTCAGATAGGTAAATAGTGAATACACTTAGATAGATAGATAGATAGATAGATAGATAGATAGATAGATAGATAGAGTGAATGAAACTGATGAAAGCTGCAGTGTTTGATTTTTTCTTTTAAATAATCTTTCTTCTGTGCAGCATTCACTGAGAGGGTGGGAGTGGTGGCAAGAATCAGTCATAATTGAGACATCGAAAGCTTTCGTTCCATTATCTGAAGATCATTGCATTCCCATGTTGAATAGGTTAGTGATGTTAAATTTAAATATGCGTATATGTGTTTGCATGTATTTGTATGTGTGTGTGTGTGCATGCGTGTTTATGTGCCTGAAGAAATATTTATAACTTTTTCCTTGTTTCGTGTCTCTTACGATAATGTTACACTAAACACTTCACTTCATTGTTGAAACGTTTCAGCGGCGCGCGGAGTGGGGATGCCTGCAGCATTAAAGAATCAATTTATAAGAAGGCAACAAACAATGGCGCCCAAATAAAGGCCATAAATAAAAGTGCCTACAGACTTTCATGTTTCTTCATGTTCTTGTTTTATTATCTTTCACTCGGCCGTCACAGTCGTCAAGGAATCTTCCTAAACCATCGTCTCTTCATGAGAACTAATACATTGTATCTCACCTAAGCCACTTCAAGAAAAGAATTATTAATACATAGGTAAAGAGTTTCATAATCACCTATATCTGTGTGTGTGTGTGTGTGTATGTGTGTGTTCGAATGTTGTTTATTCGTTTCTACAGTTTATGATTTTTTTTTGATAAATAATTCTTCAGTGCCGATTTTGAGTCCAAATTGGCTGGAAAAATTTACAACCTTGAAGGTGAAAAATTGAAAAAACTGATTTTTTACACTTTGTGCAAAAATCAGAGGCAAAATTTAATGTTTGTAAAAAACAGCGTACAATCAATTTAAGGAGTTTGAAATCTAACGCAAAAAATAATTAGAATTATAAAAAGATTATATTATATATAAAATTTATCGTATATTATTATTATGACGTCCATGGAAGAGGTTCCTTCCTGGCAAGATTGAGAACGCAAAAACGGCCTTTTTCAGGCCCCACCCCATTCAAATTTTTAACCCCCTATTTAGGGATGTCCTTCATTGGCACCCAATTGTTGTTACTAATAGTGATTTTCAGGTGGGATGAATTTAAACTGAAACTGCTCCAACGGAACAGCAAAAATTCCCAGTAATGAAAGACCCGGTCGAAGATAGGTTATATTGCTAGTAATAAAAGTTATATTCTGTTTTTTTTCTTTTGTAGATTTTATTTTTATCGGGAAATTGGATTTGATCTGAAAACACTCTGAGTGGAAATAAGGCAAAAATACTGGTAATAGACGTACATAGGTTTAGTTTCGATTGAGAGCAAGATGCATTAAAGTGATGGAGTAACCAGATTTATTTCGATCCTGTAAAATATCATAGAATTGAGTTTGAAATAAACATTACGTGTGGACAACATTTCATTTTTGTTATTATTAATTTCCCCATAAATATAAAAACTCTTCGCCATCACTACGACCAAAATGAGACTTGGCGAAAACAAGAGAACATATACGTGTGTATTGGAGGTAACGAAGAGCTTTTCTTTCACTTTTATTAGAGAAGACAATCACAGACAAACGGTGACAAGGGCGCTTCTGACAAAAGATATTTTGCATTTGGGGCGGATAGGCATCAATTAAAATAAAAGGAACTCTTTTTTATCTCTTTCCATTAAACAAAAAATTAGCTTCTCTCGCAAACTAATTCGTCATTTTTATCATCAATTTCCGCCACGTTATTGTGGGTAACAAAATTTTGATAAATAATTATGAACCTACCTAAGAAATTTTACTTCCAATTCCATTACTTCTCAAGCTAAAAACATCTAAGCATTAGTATTTCTCTTCTAATTCCGCTCTTTACATCTTTTACATTTATTTTTTTGAATCTCTATTAAACCGTACTTATATGATATCAAGTAGCACGGCTCTAGCATATACCACGTGAAAAAAATTTTTCCCAATGACTACACATCCAAATTCTTATTTTTTGGAATAAAAAAAGCAAAATAGAAACAGATAGATCAATAGACAGAAGATTCATCGAAGTGGACATCTTGGAAGGAGATCATGTTAGCACTCCCTTACACTTAATATTCAGCCAACATATTCCTCTGACATCGGCTATTGTAATTTGTAAAACTCATTATCACTCACGATCAGTCTCTGTTAGTTGCTCACTTACACTCCTTTTATTCGATAAAAAAGTTCACACTCATATCTACATAAACATCCACTTATTCAATGAATGTTATATTACTAACAAAATGATTTACTTGGATGAAACTTAAAGAACACAATAATTATTGACTGCATAATCTCTTTTACCGCAAAGACATTTTTGAAGTATACTGTCTTTTGTTTTTGTAATCGTTTTTCTATTCGTTTTTTTTTTATTCATTTCCCTATTTGTTTTTCTATTCAGTTTTTTATTCGTTTTTATTCTTTTTTCTATTCGTTTTTCTATTTGCTTTTCTTTTCGTTTTTCACTTTGTTTTTTATTCTTTTTCTATTCATTTTTCCATTTTTTTTCGGTCCCTTTGCCAAAGTCCGACGTTCTAACCAATGTCAAGGGAGGTAAACAAGCCTTCTGAACTTAAAGGTTTTACGCAACATGATCTTCATACGCCTATTTGACATTCTTTATTTGAATTTGTACTGAACAAAGGAAAATATTAGGTTGTTCAGAAAATAATGTCCAATTTTAGAATCAACATTTATTCCTAAATTAATGTATTTAAGCAGTGATTAAATACATTAATCTATCAAAATAGGCAACCTGAACATCTATACATTTCTGCCATCGGGGCACAAGATTATTTATGCCTTTATGTTAAAACTCTAAAGTTTTGGACAACAATAAACTTCTAAATGAAGTTTCTGCAACTTATTTGTAAACGGATGTATTTTGGCTTCAAAAATTCTCAAGATGTGGTAATCATTGGGCAAGAGATCAGGGGAATATGGTGGAAATGGCAAAGTGCCGTACCCCAAATCGGTGTAATCTGCAGTGTCATCCTTTCCAGGATGTGTGGCCGAGCATTGTCATGAAACAGAATTGGAACTCGTCGATTAACCAGTGCCAGTCTCATTTTGCTTAACTAAATGTTAACTGAACTGTGCTTAACTTTATTTTGATGAACTTTTTTTGCTTAACTGAATGTGCATTTCATCCAGCTGCTGGTTTTAAACTTCGGCAGTGGTGCTCTGGTTTGAATCCAGAAAGCTGTAACGGATAACACCAATGGCGGATCACCAGACAGTCACCATAAACTTTGTCATGATCAAGCCATTAGGCCTATATTTTACAATGTTAGATAGGAGCCATTTCTTATCATGAAGCACTATTAGATCAAGAAATGGATCATTCTTTGACGTGGATTTTGTTCGATGAGTGTTTTCAGATGTTGATTATCAATTGCAGATGGATACTCTTAACCACCATGTGCTTCAAAGCCTGTATCCCCACAGCGGAACTTCAGAAAACTACGCCATACTATTTGATCACAAGTGGAACCTTCACTTCATACTTTGTTAATGTTGGCAGCAGCTTGAGAATACTTAGAAACAGATATGAACTCATGCAAAAAAAAAAGTACATGCATTTCCTCTCTTTTTAGAGAAACTTTTCTACCTGCAACCTGCATGGCTGACACTATACAATTCCAAGTTCAATTTGGGACTAAACAAAGTCATTTTGGGACTAAGCAAGTTCATAATGAAATAGCCAAGTTCAGAATGGTACGTAGCAAATTCAAAATGAAGCAGCCAAGTTCAGAATGGGACGTAGCAAATTCAAAATGATATATCTATGTTCAGAATGAGACATAGCAAATTCAAAAGGAAATGGCCAAGTTCAGAATGGGACGTAGCAAATTGAACAGGAAATGGCCAAGTTCAGAATGGGACATAGCAAATTCAAAATGATATATCTATGTTCAGAATGAGACGTAGCAAATTCAAAAGGAAATGACAAAGTTCAGAATGGGACGTAGCAAATTCAAAAGTAAATGGCCAAGTTCAGAATGGGGCTTAGCAAATTCAAAATGGAATAGCCAAGTTAAGGATGGGAAGTAGCAAATTCAAAATGAAATAAGCAAGTTTGATTTGGAACGAAGCAAATTCATAGTGAAATAAGCAAGTTTGCATTGGGACTAATCAGATTCATTATGGGAAAATGTTTCGAACTTATCTGCGCGTTTCAATAAACAAATATCAGGGATTAAAAAATCAACTGAGCTGTAAATCAGATAATTAAAAATCGGAGCGCAGCTTTGCGTAGATTTTACTATCAGTTCCATACAAGAGGCTATCCTTGAACAGATAAATTTGTGTCAAATTTAAAGTTTCTGGCACTTTCATTGGTAAGACAATCAGGGAGTATAGAAGAAGAGATGACTGTATATAGTATTAAAAGTGAGAGAATAAGGGAGAGTTATTCAAAATGAAATGATTTAGGGAACAACAGGGCAAATCTCGAAAGTCCTAAGAAAAAGCAACAAGGAAATACTGAATGCATATATCAAAACAGGTTTTGAAAAAAGATAAGGTATAGTGAGAGATTTTAAGCGCTGAAAGCTGCATCCGAAAAACATACACATTTCATGAATTTTCTTGATTGCTCCAAGAAGATAAAACATCTCAATAGTTGAACATTATTATTTTATCATGATAATATTTAATCCCAGTCCCAAAAATTGACATTGCTTAATCCGTTTTGAACTTGCTAAGTCCCAAATCAAATTTTCTTATTCCATTTTGAATTTGACTATTTCATTTTGAATTTGCTTAGTCCCATTTTGTACCTGATTATTCCATTTTGAATTTGCTATGTCCCAATTTAAATTTGACTATTCTATTTTGAACTTGGCTATTTCATTATGAACTTGCTTAGTCCCAAGATGACTCTGATTAGTCCCCAATTGAACTTGAAATGTTATAGATTCCGGGATAGCAACACACTACGTCTTCTTGGACTTACGTTTTCCACAAGTATGAAGTGGAGCAGCTGCACCTACTGTAAGGAAAGCTGGGTCACTGTGTTGTGCCAGAAAATTTTTATCGTCGGAATCCATCTGTCATGTTTACAAATCTACAATTCGTTCGTACATTGAATACTGTTGCCATATCTGGTTTGGGGTTCCTGCTGTACATCCCGAGATTCCTGACAAAATCCAAAGAATAATCTGTAATGACTTGGCATCTCGATTTCAGTCATTTTCTCACCGATGTGACATGGCTTCCCTCTATCTTTTCTAAAGAATATTTTCATGGCAACTGTTCTGACGATCTTTTTTCCTTGGTGCTCCGAATACATGAATTTAAGTTTAAGATTGGGATCGAGGTTACACCATTTTACTGTTGAAATTTTGCTAAATGCAACCGCCATTTTTACTCCAAAGCTTCTTTTTTCGCACTTCCCTCATGTGGAACTCTCTTCCGTTTTCTTGCTTCGCTGTTAACTACAATCTTCAACAATTTAAATGCAACGTCAATCGCCATCTTCTGCCTTCATGTGACCCGTTCATTTTTTGACCTTTCTTCAATCCTTCCTATTCTCAGTCTTCAATTTCACGTATGCTCCCTGTAACCCCCTTCGCACTAGTAGCATTGGCGACTTGCATGGGGTGATTTTAAAAATCTACAAGATGAGGGGGGCATATAATATAAAGATAATTTAGAAAAAACATCCAAGTGACTGATACTTTCCATTATTGGAAGCAAATTACGGTAAACAGGTTTTTTTTCTCACCAGGATTAAACTTGGTGAAGAAATATTAAATTTTACAGATGATTTTTTTTTTTTTGTAAATTAATGTAATGAATTCGGCTCTCACAGATGCCCAATTATTCTGGCTTTTACTCGGACTAGATTTTTAAAAAAAAAGGTGTCATTCCATAGAGCGATAATTAAGAAGTTAGTCTTATAAATCTTTATCCATTACTCTTTTGCTTAAGAAGTTAATCTTGGTAAATAAATTAATATTAAGTAACGAGGACATGTATCATTATTCTTAGTGTTGGAAACAATACTTAAAATGTTTGCTCAATAAATCATGGAAGATTTAATAGAGTTATAATTTCCTATTTATATATTTTCCTAATTTATATTTTGTTTTTATTGGTGGGAAGGGTGGCCGTATATTCGCCGGGCTTCCGTCGCTGTTATATCAACGTCATCTCATCGACATGCGATATATGTGGATAAATTGGAGAAATGTTTTGTAGAGATACGAATGGACTGAGTTTAACATTTATTCATTGCATACTTTACAGGTGAATGGGTGTATTGATGACTAAGTAAAGAGATCGTGTTGCACTAAATTATCTAGGAGGAAGGATCTGCTTTTCATGGAAGTCAGTATTTGAATTTCTGGCTGTTCACCAGAACTTGAACAGCGGTATTATAGGCCAATATTAGACTGAAGCAGATAACATCTTATCAGTAGATAGCTTTGAACAAGTTATTTCGTTTCACACGTGACTGAAATTTATGATATATATACATATTCTGAAAGGTAACATTTCAAGCGTCTTTCTGTATGAATCGTGTGAGGATTGTGAATCTTAAATGTTTTTGCGTTAAAAGTGGAAATGGAGGAAAATAAGATGTAATT